GTACCCAAAGTTCTGAAAATTGTTGCTGGGATATAAAGTAGTGTAGAAATATTTTTCGGTTTATGTGAAATAAACCCCTTTATCCCTCATACAATAGTCTCAGTTAGAACTCAGTTTTCAAGCCTATTTATACAAATTTATACTGGCTGATAATGTGTTTGGAATAACATAACAAAATTTATAAATGCGGATAAACCCGTATACAACTTATCACAAATTATATAGATTTTATTTTATTTATCAATATATATATATATATATATATTATATTTACACAATGAAAGCTTTATAAAAAATATTTAACTAATGAATTCCACTAAGTTATACTTAATTTAATACATTAACCAAAATTATTTAGATATGTAGTTAGAATATAATAAAGTACAATGAGACACCCATGAATTGGGTAATTAAATACAATAATACGTCCTGCTTTGGTATCTATTACAGCTCTAAGTCATAGCACTTAAAGGATAATATATTGCATCAAACGAAATTAAATTTGGAACTAGAGGCAGTATGTAATCTAAGAAAATCGCATATAATAATAAATCAACAATACTGTAGAAATGAACAATGAAAGCAATGAAAACTTGAAAAATTTAATTTCACTATAAATAATTTTAGATAATTTACTATTTAGTATGGATCTTTATATCTCAACGTCTCGGAATTGATTCTCATATACCCTGAAAACTTGTTGCATTATTTCTATAAACTACTCTTTAAAAATAATAGCTGTAATAAAAGATAATTATCGAACTATTATCATATACTATCTATTGAAAGCTATAAAAAAATAATAATACTATTTAATAAATTTAGTAGAAGTCTTAACTTTATTTTCAGAGTTAAGAGCTTTGATGGATTTTCTGTTTAGAATATTAAACATTAAATTATTAAAATTATTAATTAAATATATGTGTACGTTTTTATAATTAAAAATTTAATCGTTTCCTTAATTAATATATATAATAATATTTAATTTAACTAGTCAAAAAATCCATACCATACACACAATTCGATGTAACCTAGTTTTACGCTTATTACTATAAAAAGAGCTATATCACTAAGGATATCGAAAAGGCACATATCTTGACTTCGAATAATGGCAATCATTAGAAAAATAGTGACATGCAAATATAATAACCTTATGATTGTATACAGAAATACACCTCAAGAATTTAAAAAAAAAATGGATTATACCTTTGATTATCAGATTACATAATTTAATTAACAACTTAGTTTAAATATATAATTTAATACAGATCTAACTAACAACTCTTATAACTTTTGATGTAATATTTTTTTATTTATATAATTTTTGACTGCGTTAAAAGGATATATTTTATAATAAAAAAAAATTTATTTATTTAAATTTTTTCAATATTACAAAATAATCATTCTTTTAGAGTTTTTCTTGTAAAATATTTTAATGGGTCGATAACAACTTTAGATAAAGTACTTATTGAGTTACAAACATTTTATTACAATGAGAGGGTATGTTGTGAGGGAGGGTACTGCTCTTACTGGTGATAATTATGATGCAAACTCCATCCGTGCAACGTACCTATTCTATGTATTTCAATACTGGTAACTCAATAAGTACTTTACTTAAAGTTGTTATAGATCATCAAAATTTTTTTTAAGATGAGCTCTATGAAATGGCTATTTTGAAAAATAAAATACATTTGTTAATTTTTGTTTATTATTATTATTATAAATGAATAATAAAATACGTGTTTTTTGTAGTTTATTAAATAAATTATTTAATAAGAAAAATTACAGCGAAATTTTAACTGTATCGAGAGTTACTCGTTAGAACTGATCCAATAATTTCTATAGTTATTTCTTTCTTTCTCGAAGAGTAGTTACAATGAATTCTATCTTGATGAACCTTATTGTATGTTCAATTTCATCTTATCCGTGAATAACATACAAACAACACGTCTTCATAACAAATTCTATTTTAATCCATTCAATATCAAACTCGGCTTAATTAAATTAAAGTTGATTAAACGACAATTAAATTCTATTATTTCTATCTAACTTAGTCACTGCGTGGATGCCAGAATCAATATATTATTAATTTATATTGTCAATTTTAATTTTAATCTGAATTTACCTTTTATTTTGTATGATTGTTAAACATGCGCTAGGTAAACCTTGCCATTTGCAACTATAAAAATCTTTATTTTTACTAATATGCAATATAAATTTAATATAATAAAAAAATATAAATATATTATAATATGAAAAATAATTATATATAATAATGAAAATAATTAGTTCTAATGCTATACTTCTATAAAAAAAATTATTGCACACATGAAATTCAGCTAAATAAATACAGCTTTTTGTGTAACTTTTTGTATCGTAATTTAAGTTTTATATTAAGTCTAGATACTAAAACAGTGTCTAAAAATTGTAAAGTCGCATAAATTTGGCAAACCAAAATCATTAAATCTGATTATGAATAATATCAGTGTAAAATTTTATAGACAAAAGCAACCGTTATAACAATCCATAAACCGGATCACCAGCTAAGAGATAACATTGAACATTTAGAGATAGGGTTTAAATTGTTAAATGAACTGAAATTATCAGTACCAAAAAAAACCCATTGCAAATCATTAAACACAACATTCAAAGTGTATAGAAAATATTTTACCCTTAAACTCTTAAGTTAACACGTTATATTTAGCAACAAATTTTTATGTTATAATATGTCATTTCAATACGACCAAGAGATAATTAAATTTTATTACTTAAGAAATAATATTATTAAAATATTTCTTTCTCATTTAACATTAAATATCATTTAGGATTACTCAACTCATCGCTATTTTCTTAAAATTAAAATTATTACTTTGTTTTTGTTCGCTTGAAAAATGTACAAAAATGACCAACTGTTTTTATTCTGTACCCTTGTAATTAATATTAAATATGAATGCGTATTAAAAAATATTATTTATTGAATGATAATTATTTAAGTATTAAACGAATATAAGTTAGCCATAGTTTTAAAGACAGTTATTTTTATAGCAAAATTATTTTATATTAAATTCAAATTTAATAGTACTTTTAATCAAAACAATAGAACGTTTTGAATATTTTACGTCTAGTTATTTCATAAAAAAATTGATCTATTTGTTATGAAAATAAATAAATTTATAAAAATAAAACATCTATAAAGGTTTATGAATAAAATAATTTATAAAACATTCATCTTAAATAAAATGAAATGTACAACTCCAAATTTTTTTATTAAATGTGTATGGCTTTTTACAAATTTTGTGTAAAAAATTTAACTATATGCAATGTTATTTTTCGCCTAAATGATTTTTGGTTATCTGTAAAAAAGAAGCCTGAATTAAACATACTGTATTTTATAAAAATATGTTAAAAAACTGTATGAAATAAATGTACTGTGTGTAGTGATGTAGTCTGGTTTGTCATACTTTAATTTAATTAGTCTTACTTTTATTCAAAATATGCTTTTTAGCATATAAATGTTATCAAGATATTAAAATTAAATTCTAACAAATAGTTAATTTTTAATCACTTTTCTGCTTGTATAGTAATAATTTAACATGTCAATATTGTGACCTGTTAACTTTTAACTCGGATTATATTAATATTTTACCTCATAATTTATGTATCAAATAAATATTTAACTTCAATTAAGTAAATAAAACTTTGAAAATGTAAATTATAATTTTAACTTCAGCAACAAACTTTAGACAATTAGGTCGGAGCGTGTTTAAGATAATAATAATCGAAAACAAATGTAAAAAAATTACTGCTGACTTTAAGTTCTCCCTTTTGGTTTTTTTCTTCTTGAGTGCAGTCATCACATTTCATTCATTCATGAACGCACGAGTGATAGTGTAGACCGCATTATCAGTCAAAAAACATGAACAACACTGAGAAACATTTCTGATATTGTGCTTTGAAGTTTATTGTATATTATTTTTTTTAATACTAGATAAATTTTCTATCAAAAACTTCATTAACAATTATCAGTACACGATTTTATATTTTTACCGGAACAAAAAAAAATTTCAAATTGAAATGATATATATAAAACTAAATTACAAATAATTATAAAACATCACTTTTTATGTCCAAAATGGAAAATAATTTTCATTGCTATAACTTAATTAAAAAATATATTCAAACAAAAAAATCTACTAAATCTTAAATCAGATATTATATGTTATATTTGATCACTTCAACTAACATATAGTTGAAGTAATAAACTAAAGTGGTAAATTTAATAATAAAAATTAAGTTATTGAAAAAAAGAATCTGACTGACTGAATGTGCGTTAAAATAATTAAAACAAACAAACATACAAATGTTGTGGAGAAAAATAAATATAAAACGACTTAAATTGAGTCGTAGTTATATATTTATACTACGTAAATATTGACTATTAATTAATAAAAAAATAATTTTACAAAAAATATTTAAAAAAAAACATTTTAATAATAAAGATTATATAAAATTTAGTTGCTTATTCAGACAGTCATAATATATTATAATTATTATATTAAGCAATATTTATAAATTAAAACTAAATTTATAAATTTATAAATTTATAAATTAAATAAAAACTAAATTCTCTTAATTTGTCACTCTAGGATTGAAATTTTAATTTATTATTTTACATACTATAAAAATTAATTATAAAAAAAAAAACAGATTTAACGAGATGAGTAAAATATTTGATTGCTACTCTTTTCATTATGTGTAAGGTACACCGACTGTTAACGTTAATGTTAGTGACAACACTAGATTATTGAAACAATAATAGAAAAATATATGGTTTAATTGCCTATTGATACAAACAATTACCATAAGTGGATAAATTATGTCATTTTTAAAATAATCAAACCACAATGGTTAAACTTTAATTTAATTTATATAAATGCTAAATTTTATAAATAATATAATTATAATAAAAATATATAAATAACGATACATTGATGTTTCAGATATTGGAGTTTGTTAAAAGTATGACCAGAGTGTCTGCCTTGTGGGGTCTGCTGCAGGTTGTCGGGTCACGTTATGTTGTCATCCTCGGTGGCCTGCAGTTTAGCGGCTATTTTATCAATCAGTGTACTTTGTGGTGCGTGGGCAGATTGCCCTAGACCTTGTGAATGTATGTGGCGTAGTGGAAAAGAATCAGCTATCTGCTCTAACGGTAACATGACTACTGTACCACGACATTTGGACTATGGTACACAATTGCTGGACTTGTCTGACAACCCTTTGTATAAAATTGGTAAGGATGCTTTCATTGAAGCTGATCTATTAAACTTACAAAAACTATTCCTATCTAAGTGCCATATTAAGACATTGGACCGTTATGCTTTCCGAAAACTTACTAACTTAGTAGAATTGGATTTAAGTCATAACAGCATACCAATGGTGCCTTCGGCTGTTTTTGAAGAAACACCTGAACTTCGAGAATTACGCCTCAACATGAATCCAATATTGAAGATTTCAAATTCGGCTTTTGCTCGTATACCTCGTTTAATCAAGCTAGACTTATCTGAATGTCGTATTGCTCTACTAGAATCGACAGCATTTGCTGGCTTAGAAGACTCGTTAGAGTGGTTAAAACTTGATAATAACCAACTAAGAGACGTCAAACCATCTACAGTGGTGTCTCTGACTAAGTTGCACGGAGTCCAACTTAGTGAAAACCCGTGGAATTGTTCGTGCAAGCTGAGACCATTGCGCGAGTGGATGGTTAAAAGGAACGTGCCTTACGGTGCACCACCAGTTTGTAAAACGCCTTTAAGATTGGCCAGGATTGGCTGGGACAAGCTAGAGCTTGATGATTTCGCTTGTGAGCCACATGCCAATCCAGTAACACCGGTAGTTATGGTTACTGAAGGAGACAACGCTACGGTATCTTGTCGTATGTCCGGGGTACCTTTACCCACATCTCGTTGGACGCGCAATGATAAACCTATTGGCCACACTAGTCGTAGCGTATCAGTAACATCAGGACGATACACCAATCTAACATTAGTATCAGTAGTAATTCAAGATGGAGGTAGTTACACGTGTTTTTTAGAAAACAGATCAGGTAGTTCTAAGTCCAACATCACAGTAATAGTTATGAAACGATCACCAGGATTAGCAATGGCTGCCGATCGAATCACATTGCCTGGACTTATTGTAGGAATAATTTTGGTGATATCTTTTTGTTTAATATTCCTATGTGGCTTGGCTATTCGCACCAAAAGTAGCCCTACTAGGTATGCAGATTCTGTTAGCCAATTCGACATGTACGAAAAAATTGAAATGAATCATAAGACTGCTGAAATTGTCCAACAACAACAATTGACGTCACCGCAAAAACAACCAGAAAATCACAGTAATACAAGTAGACCAGATCCTCCAGACTACGCTCAATCAGTAGCAATAAAAAAACAACATAAAGAAGAAGAGCTTGTACCAGCCAAAGAAATTGGTTCAGAAAAAAATAGTCCAATGAAACAGATTGAACCACATATGTCTAGTTCGACTCACAAGTGAGTATTATAATATTCAAATCTTAAAAACTTTCATTATAAAATAATCAATCAAGTATTGAGATATTCTTCAATGAACAACTTAGTTTTTTTATATTTCTGCAATATAATTTTTCGGTGAAATAAAATGTTTAAAAAGTCAATGTTGACTTGGGTAGGAAAATATCATATATACAGAAACCATTGGATTTATTCTTTTATATATATATATTAATTTCATGCATTATACGGTATATACCTACTTTTACTCTAAAATCCTCTGTTTCATCACACACACTTTTTACCCTAATACAAGTGCTTTCATACGTATCCTCTATTACATCAATATACGCTTTTGAAACTCCTTTTTTCATTCACGCCGACACCAATATCAGCTCTTTTATACGCCTTCTCATAATCTATGAAGACTATACTTTTTCTTATACTTATACTTATACTTCTTTTCCTTTTACTTTTTTATAAGCTGTTTCACACAAAATAATGATTTCATCGTTGACTTTTCAGGTAAAAAACTGATTTTAAATTACCGTTACCTCATTTCTTATTCTATCATCTTTTTCCAAATCTTCATACTGTGACTCATAAGCTTTATGTCTATATCATTTTCAGGATTCTGTATGTCTTCTTTGATTTAAATACAAGTAAAAATTTTCCTCCATTAACTCTTCTATTAAAAATGTATTAAAAAAATTTCTCAACCACCTTATGCTTAGATCCTTTAATATTTTTCTCACTTTCACTGGCACTTCTTTAAGTATTACTCCTTTTTTGTTTTTCACCGATCTTAAAGCTTCTTATACCTCATCTTCACTAATTAAATTTATTAGTTCTTCATTCCATTCAATATTATTTCCACTATTTTTCACATCCACAGCATTCGCTAACACACTCTAATAGGCCATACATTTTAAAAATCCTCGGATCGTTTTATGTAACCTTATCTATCTTGTTGACCTTTGTTTAATCCTAACTTATTGTGCAACTCATCATACCTATTAAACTTTGCCTTACTTACTGCATCTTTTCCTTCTTTCCACAAACTATTTACTCTATTCAATCCCCTCACCTTCTTCTCCTCTTGCATTCTTTAAATTAATTTGTCTTACTTGCTATAATTCTCTGGACTTACTCGTCTCATCACCGTGATTCTTTATATATTGGAATTCACTTACAGTACTCTTACTCTCAAAAAAACATCTTTCGTGATAATCATTACATTAGCGGTAATTCTATTTCACATACATATCTATTTCCCTCAACATTGACCATCTTTTAAAACTTTTTTTTTTCTTCTTCCTTTAATTTCCTCCATTTAATCCTTGCTTTCTCGCTTTCTGTGTACTTTTTTTTTTTGTATACATTCTTCTCATTACACCACAGATCCATTATTATCAATCTATACGGTGTTGTCACACTCACGTCAGAGATAAATTAACAATCTTTTAATCGATTTATACTCTCTCTCTTTTTTATAAAACAATCAAACTGTGATCTATTACTCCCATTCTTATAAGTTATATAGTGCTCTTCCCTCTTCCTAAAATAGGTACGGCTACTATTTTAATTTTAATCTTCCTATCCATTATTAATCCTACAATATTTCTTGTATTTTTCTTACCTGAATATATTATTTTTACTACTCACCTATTTCTCCTTTCCGTTCGATTTCCTGCGCACAACAAATATTGAATTTCCTTCTTTTTAAGCCACTAATTCTCTACTCGTACCAGTTAATGTTCCAACATTCTACGTACCTATTCTTACACCTACCGTCGCACCTAAACCGAATTTAATCTAGAACTTATTAGTGATTTCCTTATACTAATGATACTGCAAGCGTCGGATAGTGTCACATAACTAGTAAGACAGCTACCACACAGTTTGTCCAGCTGGTTCCCCACAATTCATTTTTTAGACCTCCACCACCTTTAGTTACGTTATTTCCTCTCACCTGTTGTTTTCGCGTACATCCGTGATGGGATAATCTGCCTATATTTTATTTGGGATTCCTTATACCTACTGACAACATTTTACACCGGCTGACGATCTGACACATCCTTATTTATCGCCTGTTACGGCTGGTAGAGTCGTAAGTATTCTGATTACCATCTATAGGGATAATATTCTTTACAAAAGCGGCAATACTATCCCACAAATAATTTTATATTTTTCGTTTTATTTCAATATTTAAGAATAAACTACTCTTTGTAATTTAGAGTGATATTATTATTTTTATATTAATTGGTTCAAAAAAATTACTATTTTCTCATTTAATGTTCTACATATGACTTTTTTTCTTTAATTAAACTTTTAGTTAAAATGTTTTCAAAACTAATAAATGTAACGTAATTTCAACCATATAGGTAATCATTAAAATTGATTAAATGTCAGTTCAACTATCATAACAATAAACAAGTTGTAATGCTAACTCTTGATAAACATTGACAAATGTCTATACTTCCATTAAAATTATTTCTACTTATTATAACAATAAAGCCTCACGGCTAGTTATTCAAAATAACAACTACGTGATATAAATAATGTATTGTTGACCTGTTAATGTACAGTTGTAATTATTTTGCATGTAATGCACACATTTAGTACATGACGTGCAATTTATCATTATAATAATCACATATAGCGCTTTGATGAAAAACGAAATACTCGGACCCTTAAATCCACAAATCATAACAGCTAAAAGTTGATATTATCTCCAAGCAACAACACTAGAATAAAAATAATTACCTGCCAAATCTAATCAAAATAAATGATTGAAATATTAATCAGGCATCTTTATTATCTTTATCACAATCGCCTTTCATCAAAAATTGATAATAATATTTAAGTAATCTTGTAATCAAACGTAAAGATTTAAAAACTCTTAATAAGTTATGACCTTTCTTTATGTCTCATCAATATTACCGATTAGAATAAGAATTTTTTATTTTGGTTATGGAATAAAATATGAACTTAATTTATCAAAGCACTCAAATAATTGCTTGATATTCTAAATTTGTATTTAAAAAGTTTTCTATTCGCTATGGTTTAAATAAGTCAAATTTATAGCAAAAAAAAAGGATTTTTAAGTTTTCTTAAAGTTAAGTACAAGTAATCAGAGAAATATAATTCTAAAAAAAATCAGCACAGGGACACGACATAGTTGGGTTAAGTATAGATAATATTTGATAGTGATATTCAGTAATATCACTATACTAAAAAAATTCTTTGATATGAAATTTAATTTTTTGTTAAAATAGCACATTTTAAAATCAAGTACCCCATAGAAAAAATATTATTGAGACATTTTTATTTTTCCTATCATAAAGTACTTATAATTGATTTTAAGTTTCGGTTTGTCAAACGTCTCAAAACATTTTCAAAAATTGAAAATAAAAAATTTTTTTTTAATCGCATTATAACAATTGTAATACTTTTTTTTAATAGTGCAATATATTTCGAAAATTTTTATTTAATACAGGTTAGAGTTGTCAAATGTTCCTTAACATTTTCAAAAATTATGTTGAATTTTTAATTTTTACACACATGGTCTTTTTTTAATCTTTCATATATTAAGGTTATTAATTGAATTTTCATAAAAAATATTTTAAAGAAAACTTTACTATCTCTAGTATACCTGCTAAAATTTTATGATAGTCAGTTTTAAAAAAAATTATAGTAGTTTGAAAATACAATTGATTATGGTAGCGTAATTTTGAGATAATTGTTTAAATTTCTAATATTTAGAGGGTTTTCAAGTTCAACTAGATTAAAATCAGTTTTTTTCTTTTGCATAAACCAACAAAATCAATCCAGTGTGAGTTGAAAATTTTCAAGGATATACATAAATAAAACTCATCATGAATAAAACCAATAAACTTTCTTAAAAAACTTCTCAAATTTTCATCTAAGCTAACAAACTAAAATATTTTATATGGTTGACTAACATCACTAACATTTATTTTATTTAAATTTTAACCAACATTTACTGTTTTTTCTTTTTTAAATTGATATAGTAGTAAAATATCCTTTCAAAAAAATACTACAACTATAATGAAAAAAATATTCCAATATAAATAACAAAAATTAATAATATAATAGTTTGAAGAAGCCAACAAGGTTTTCTCTTTAATTAAGTAGAGATAAAGTCTTTTACTTCTGTCGATTTTATTATTGACCCACAAAATAACTTATAAATTTATGTATTGCAAAATTTTATTCAATATCACTGATATTTTAGCTATAAAATTATATGAAAAATTGTACTTAGATAATAAATTTTCGCACGGTAATATCTCACTAATGCGTATACTGATAAAATAAAAAAAAAAATTCTCAAATTATTCGTTTCCATGCATTGAACAGTTTCTGAAACCTCATAATCGGTTTACCTAGTGCATAATATTATGCAGGTAAAGGGACTAATGGAATCTTACATATGAACAAATACTGATTATGTGAACAAACTCTGACCCGGCGTTTAGTATAGGCAATATGCATACGTGAAAGCATCGGAGAGCTGGTAATGTATTATAAGTGACAAAAACACATTAACATCGGGATAATACTATTGTTATTGTATCACGTGCAATATAAACATCAAACATTTTAGTTTCATCAAAACTTGATCCAACAATAATAATAAAACTATTATTTGTTGAAAAAAACAAAAATCAATTTTTATGTGCACAAATGAATAGAACTATGATAAACCACTGTATCGCTTAACAACACATTTGACAGAGATTTGATGTCAGCAAACTAATTACTTAGGAAACAAAAACAGCAACTAAAATCTGTTTTCTAGACGGATGAGTTCGCAATTAACGATATCAAGCAAGGGTTAGTAGCTTAATAGTTCTTGACAATTTCAAATTGCTATTTTTAACGTTGATATGTAAAAACATTATCACAGAATACGGCTTCCTTAAATATCGTATAGTACTTCACTATACATTTTCACATTCGCAAATATTTTATTAACATTTTAAGCTTATATTTTTATATTACTACTAATTGGTTAAAATAACAACGGAAAAAAATTCTGTAGGACCTTAACTTTCCTGTCGTTGGTTCTTCTACTAATATGCTACAAATTAAATACCGAATGTCTCAGATTTAAATGACATTACTTATAATTTTTAAACATATTGTCATTTTGTTGACATTTTTTTCAAATAATTATTGTCTTTTTAGATTACGTTTACAGAATAATCTTTGTAATTTATCTGTAATAAGATAAAATAAATAAAAGTTTTTTTTTTTCGAAATTTAAAATAGTAATTTTTTAAACCTAATTTTACGAAAATTTTGGCGGATTGGTGATTATATTAGAATAATACTTATCAACTTACAAGAGTTTTAAGAAATAGAGTGAGTATGTAGTGCATTGTCTAAAAAGACAATAATTATTTTAAAAAATTACTACAATGAAATATAATTGGATTAAAAGTTATAAGCATTGTCAGTTTGATCTGAAACACTCTGTTTATTGCTTAGTTTTGAATCAAACAAAAATATTTAGGTATAATTGCTTTTAGAATTACACTTACAAAATGTATAAATGGATAAACTTACAAGCCCTGATGATAAACATTAAAAACTATTTAACGCGAAAACTGTCAAATTCATTTTATATGATTCATTTTGAACTTTGTGTGTTATAACACATTTTCACTAAAACGATTCATTATGTTGACATGTAATTTTCATTTGCTACTTTCATTCGTTGTAATTGATAAACTCAGAATCTCTAGTTTACGGATTTATTCAGTATTAAAACACAGCTGTATGGTAATTAAAACTTTTAAAAATAATTTATTTTAACTTTATTAACAACACTTCAAAAATTACCTATAACAAATAAATGTAATATTTACCATATATTTTTTCGGAAAAATACAATAGTTTCAAATCTTTAATTTATTAAAAGCATTTCAATAATTTCAAATGAATAAATATATAAATGGACAACTTTTCATAAATTACAATTGAATTTAATAACAACTTCATTATTAGTAATTTTACATTGATAATTATAAAAACGGTAGCACAGTGGGGTCGCGGCATAGTGGTGACATTGCATAGTTGGGTCCAGATAGATTTAATCTGACAGTGATTAAAATCACTATCATAAGAAACGCTTCGATGCAAATCTGTAGATAGTGTTTAATTTTAAAAAATTGATGGATAATTGCAAAATTAACATCAACTTCTATTAAAATAAAATACAAAACCCATAATTTGAATACAAAAATAGCATATTTTTGAATACGGCAGCCATTTGCGTATAAAAGATAGGTCGTCGGGACAAATTTTTTTTTT